TATCCCTTTACCTTATTCCTTGTGTGATTTTTGCCAGGGAACCAGAGCTTATCTTATTGGTTGCCTTTTGTAAGTAACTTTTCATTTTTTCTCATGCTGCTTTCAAGATTCTTTCTTTGTCTTTGGTTTTGGTGAGTTTGATTATGATATGTCTTGGTGATCTTCTTTTGGCGGTCTATCCTGTTTGAGGTTCGCTGAACTTCTTGAATGGATATATTCTCATCTTTCATCATGTTAGGGAACTCTCCCAAAAAACCTTCCTCCACTTTCACTGTGGTTTTATTTGTCTCTTCCTGTTCTGGAATTCTTGTTTACATGTAGGTTACTCTTCTTGATGGTATCACATGAATTTTAGTCTTTCTTCATTTTGTTTCATTATTTTTTCTAATTGATCCCTTAATGAAGTAGTATTGAGGTATTTATCTTCAGTCTCATTTATTCTGTCTTCCATTGATCCGATTCTTCTCCTTTGCCCATTCAATGTGTCATCTCTTTCTGACATCTTAGTATTTATCTTCTGGATTTTTATTTGTCGTTTTTCTAACGTTTCATTTCTAGTTTTTTGTTTATTTTGTCAGTTTATTCTTGTATTGTTTTCCTAAATTGTTCTAGAGTTGTTTTTGTTTTTTGTTCTTCACTTTGTCAGTGTTTTCCTTGATCTGTCTCTCAATCTGTAGAAAGTACCTAAATATAATTCTTTTGAATTCCTTATCAGGTAGTTCCAATGCTGCTTCTTCCTCAGGGATGAGGAAGGGTCTGTATCCCAGTCTCTTGTTTGTACTATTTAATCTTGCTTCTTTGTGTGAATTGGGATTGTCAGTTATCTCCAAGACAATGTGATTTTGTTGTATTTATGTTTAATTGGTGGTTGTATGTTAGTGTGATTCACTCAAGAGTTTTTTTTTTTTTTTCTTTATTTTGTTTTGATATATCTGTGTGAGCAGGGTACTATGCTCCTTTATTTTTTAGTTGGTAGTACTTAGGCACTCACCACCTATCTCCTGGTGAGTGTGATAGAAAATTGGAGTGTGTGCACAGACCTCTGTTAGCTGTTCATGAAGAGCAGTTGAGGGTGGGTTGAGCTGTTATTGGTCACTGTCTACCATTGGCCAGTTGGTGCAGAAACAAGTAGTGACCCTCACTCATTGGGTGGGGCTTTCTAGTTGTCAGCCTCCAGTGCAGTTGTCCATGCAGTCCTTGACAAGTGGAGCTTATTCTTATGTTGCTGTCCAGATTGGAAAGCTACTTGCGTATATTCAAAATGGGAGGCAGCAAAGTCTGTAAACTCTATCTCACAAGCCATTGATGCTATCCATTAAGAGTTGGGACATGTGAGAGAATGTTTGTTAGAGAACAGAGAAGGTATATATTATCTGTTGCTCTGGCATAACCATGGATATGAAGACTTTCAAAGCATATGCTGCTTTAATCTAACTGATAATTTGTAGCTTATTTCAGAAAAGGTTAAAGAAATAAAAGATGTAGTAGCCCATATAAAGAAGCAAGATGACATAGAGGTTGACTTTAGTTGACTAACCTACTGGCTGCCTAATATAGGATGGCTAAAACAATTGTTTATAAATATTCTCTTGTATTTGTTGATTAGTGTGGGGGCCTGTTGATTCATTCAGTTCCTTCCCATGTATTTAATTTTCTACAGACTCCCACAACCTAGGTTTCCAGGCAGCTGGCAGGCTCCACACCAGAACAAAGTAATGCCGAAAGCTAGCTCATCCAGGTGAAGCTTCTGATACTCTCACATTTATGTAGAGGACCAGAGCTTCAAAGACAGGAAGTTGACATTATAATACATGCCACAGAATTACATTGGGAAAAAAAATATGAAGACCTTGAGATACAGACCAAGAGATGCCAAGAATATAGCATGTGACATTCCAGGGAGGTCAGCCTGAAAAAAACAGGACCCACTTGTAGTTGATGCCTTCCAGAGCTAAATATAAAATTTTATTGTCAGAACTAAGTAGCTTTTCTTTGTTCTTGTCATAAATCAAAAGACTCAGTCTTTGGGAATGGAATGTATATACGTGACCAAAAGCTTTAGCACAAATATATATAAACTATTTACCCATGGTGATGAGGGGGTGTAGCAGATCTTCAGAGCTAATTCTTAAACTCTGTCCATTCCCTGATTATGCATAAGTGATTAAACTTCCTTGTCTCTTTTCTTGGTGTGATTGAATTAACTCTGTGTCACTCTGTGCATGAGCCCACATTTGGTTAACACAAGGAAACAATGAAGGGATCGCTAAAAATTAAATTAAAATTGCCATTAGTGTGGACAGAGTGTGGGCAGGATGAGCTCTAGTACCTAAGAAGAGATGGTCTGGGCATAGTGTGACTCTGTATTGGACCTACCTTACTTCACCTCTTTTGTGTATGTCCATTTACCTAGACCAAGGGAAGACTGATTACCAGGAGACCAGGACATAACTAGCAGCTCAGGTAATTCTGTTGTGAATCCTTCCTTTCTCCAAGAGTGGGATCCAGGCAGTGGTGTGCTGGACCCGACTGGCCCATCTCTTCCTAACACTGATTCCACACTGGTTGTTGAAATTGGCATGGTGGCAGTATTCACATCACGGAAAATGGCAAACAGCTACCAATCAGGGCTCTATCTCCTTTACTCCTACAAAGCTAGTTAAACGTTTACCAGCACTCCAGGAAGAGCCCAGGAAGAAAAAGCCCAGAGAGAAAGACAGATGAACACAATCGTGAATCCATAGACAATGCTTAAAATCCCACGTATCAGTCCCTGTACCTTTTTTTCTTCCCCATTGCACTTTCCCAGATAGAGACATAGATGAGATCACTCACTTTAGTGAGGACACAAAGAAGAAGGGATCTAGAAGACATTCAGGTAAGATATAGTTGAGACCACACTATTTTGAATACTACTTTGTTTCCATATAACATTACAATGGTAAGATTCAAGTACTTTAACTATTTTAGTGTTGACCAATTAATATTTAGATTGTTTTCATTTTTCTGTTTATTATTAGATTAAGTAATGTCTTTTAGCTAACCCTGAACCACAATATATTGTTTCAATCTTGAAGGCTCTAAGTGGGAAGTTATTTAAGAGCTGGCTTTGAGGGCAGAGATCTCCTTCGGAGCTCATTTTCAGAAAGCTGGAGATGGATTATGTAAATAGTGTGGTGATTTTGGATTACTTCCTTAGAATTGAGTCTTAGAAGGACCATTACTGTTTGTAGAAGTGTTCTTATTTTTTTAATTAGAATTCTGATCCACCAAATTTCTCTTCCTGAAAGAATATACCCACTTACACTCATACCAGAAAAATATTTGTGCTTGTTTCAACACAGTCTTGCCAGTATTTTCATTTTTACATAGTAATTAATTCAGGGAAGTGTGATATCATTGCTGATTTAATTTGTTTTTCCTTTCTCTTTGGAGAGGACTATTTTTGAAAAAATTTTACCCTGGATATTTGCTTCCTAAAACACTTGCTTCTGGCCCTGGGTGGGAGGTGGTGGGGGCTGGAATTCCGTAGGTTGGGAAGGCAGTGGGAGGGAGTTTGTTGGGACAGACCCTATGCTCTACTGCTAGCTGAGGACAATGTGCCACATCTGGCTCCTCATCAATGGCAATGTTCAAGTCAAAGTGTCCTGGTCAATCTGGGCCAGGACAAATTCCTTTCCAGGCCTCCTACCCCTAGGAACATTGTAGGCACCTTTTCAAATTCTCTGTGATGCCTGGAGAAGAGGGAACTTTTTCACTCAAGGTTGTTTGCCTGGATCCACCAGGTCCTGAGAGAGAATGGTTTTCTTTGCCTAGAGCTGTCTGAAATGTATGACAAAGGCTATGTAGTTTGTGTTCCTGGGGACAGGGCCCTTAGTCGCTTCTTGCCTTCCAAGTCGCCCCATGACTCCAGATCAGCTCGTGGGAACTCAGGATCTTTCTAGATGCCCAGTCTGTCCCAGGACCTGTGGCAACGCAAATGAGGACAGGTATTAAAAGGTACAGTCTTCACATCTCAAGGTAAGAGGTTGTGGTGGTCACAGCTGAGGCTTGTAGACCACTGGCTCTCAGTCAAAGGCCTGCTCCCAGCGTGGCCTGCCTGGCCTTAGGGGCCCGCATGTCGAGACCTGTTGGGAGGACCACTCCCCACTCCACCCGGCACCTAGCATAGGGCGCTTTCCCCACCAGCCAGCTGTTGGCTCCTGAGACCAGTGCGTTGCCATAGGGCCTAGGAGGAGCTGGGGGTCGTGGGGTCACGGATGTCCTGGGGGCACATCTGCACGAGACTCACTGTCTACTTCAGGGTGCCAGAGTTGGCACAGCTTGCCTGACTCAGCGCCTGAGACTGAGACAGCGCTGGGAAGATGGAGGAGGATGTACTGAACATTAGTCAACTGCTCGTATACTGCCTGTATTCCTCTGGCCGGGGTTGGGTGAACCGTCTCCAGTTTAGCCCGCGGTAATCCACTATCTTTCTAGGGACTTGTAGTTCCGGGCGCACAGTAGACTCGGATTTTCTCGGCGCTACCACAACCTCCCATTTGACAAGCCTAAAGTCCTCTTTAGCTTCAAGCTGCACGCCCCAGAGTTCCAGCCCAATCCCGGCCCCCCCTGAGCTCCCAACCAAGCTCGGACACTGCAGCTCCGCCGCGGCCGCCACTCCCCCCACATTCCAGAGGCCGCAGCGCCGTCTCCTTCCTCGCATTCCTGCTCTGGCAAAGGAGTCCCTCCGCCCCCTGCGCAGCCGCTGGGAGGAGGGGGAGCGGCTCGACCCTTCTAAGAGCACATTCCTCCGCCGCGCGCATTATTGCGCGGAGCGCGCGTCCGCCGGTGTCTTAGGGCCCCGCGTAGTTAACCCGCCCGGGCTTCGGCCTCGCCCCGCCCCGCGCCCAGGGGTCCCGGGGTTGGCTCCCGGTTTCGGGCGGACGATGCGGTGGCGCGGCCGGAGCGGCGGCGGGAAGCAGAGGCGGAGATGACGTGCTAGGGCCGGCAAGCCGGCCATGCAGCGCTCCCGGGCGGCCGCGGACGACGCAGCCCTGCTCCTGGCCGGATTGGCCCTGCGGGAGCTGGACCCGGGCGGCGACTCTCTGGGCAGGGGTCGGCAGGCGCCGCCACCCGGACCAGGAGACGAGACGGCGCAGGCGCTCGGCCGCAGAGGCAAGGGAGGCGGCGGCGGCCCGGAGACTGAGGCGGACGGACTGAACCGTGGAGAGAGAGGCCCACGGCGTGCGGCGCCCGCCGAACTCAGCGCGCATCCTGCGGGCAGCCCGCGGGCCAGCTTGGCGGGCTCCGACGGCGGCGGCAGCGCTCGTTCCAGCGGCATCAGCTTGGGTTACGACCAACGCCACGACAGCCCGCTCTCTGGCCGCTCAGACCGGCGCCCCGGCCGGGGGCCACCGTCGGTGGGCAGCGCCCGCTCCAGCGTGTCCAGTCTCGGGTCCCGCGGCTCGACCGGCGCCTACGCCGACCTCCTGCTCCCTGGAGCCTGTCTGGCACCAGCTCGCTCCCCGGAGCCTGCCGGACAGGCCCCCTTCCCTCTGCCATCGCTCCAGCTGCCCCCGGGCCGCGAGGGAGGCCCCAGCGCGGTGGAGCGGCGGCTGGAGGTGCTAACTCGGGAGCTGGAGCGGGCGCTGGAGGCGCGCACAGCGCGGGACTACTTCGGTGAGCAAGCTCGGCCGCACCCGCGCTCCACACCAGAGACCTTTCGCGATCTCGACTCCGAGGGCCCAACAACCGAGCGGAGGAGTTCGGGGTGGGATGGGGCTTAGAGTTAGGATGGGGTTCGGGGTGAGGAAGACTTGTCTCTCCTGCGGCTGAGGCGCAGGAGATGTGTGAGGGTGAACCGTCCGGTCTGGGGTTTACTTAGAACAGCAACTTCGTCAGGCCGCGGGAGGGACCTGGCAAAGTGCTTTGACACACCGTTTCTTAACTTGGAGAAAAATCGGGTTAATAGAATATTTTCTGGATATATGTATATTTTTTCTTAACTCTCGGCATCTGCCCCTACTCATCCTACTTACCCAGGTATGCCCGCCGACCCGGTGCCCCCTCCCTTTTAGTAGTATGAGGTGTGGGCAGGAGAAGGGAGGAGGAACGGTCCAGGCCTCTCTCTGCCTGACCTTTGGCTTTGGGGATGATGGGGGTAGAGGTAGAGAGAGCGGGAGGGAGGGTAAGTCCACTTTGGGGCGGGAGCGAGGGACGGGAGGACAGAAAGGAACTAGTCAATCACGCTGGGTTGCCCTTGCTCTGGGCCAAGCTGTGTAAACGGGATGTTCCAAACAATCCTGATTCACAAAGTTTCCGAAAGCCCCCGTTCCCTAGCCCCTGACCTCCTGATCCCTAGTCCTTTCTAGAACTTTTAGGGAAGGGAGAGGTACTGAGGCCTGGGGAAGGGTTGTCCCTTTCTCCCTTCTTGAGAGGTAGGAAGTAGGAAGGCTAAAACACCTAGCTCTGGGGTGGTGGTTATCCTGCCTAGGACTGAGGCCGCTCTGGGTTTTGTATCTTGCATGCATTCATTCCAGTTAGCATCTCAGGGCTGCCTGGAACTGGCTCTTGAGAGATGATCATGAGGCTGTTTGAATCCAGATGGGGTTGTTCCAGGCAGAGGGAAGAATGGACAAGAAGAGGGAAGTGTGGATGTGTATTGAGGTTGCTATAATGCTGGAAGCTATGCCACTGGTAATTCAAATACCAGCAGGGTCAGCCATGGTTTCAGCAGAGCTTCCAGACTAACACAAACTAAGACAAAGACCTAGTGATTTACAGCAGTTAGCAGTAATAAGAATGTGTTGCCCAGGATGGATCAGATGGTCAGGGGCATGTGAGGGCCAAAGCGGTTGGTCTGCCTTTGGGGTAGAAGACAACTGAGGGGTTTCAGGACTATCTGGAAAATGGCAGGCTAAAAATTTGTGGTTTGGGCTGCTGTTGGGTGGCCTGGGAGTGGAGGGATGAGTTGGGAATCTGTTGTCTCATGCCAAGGCAGGTACCAGGAACAGAAGCCACAGCTGTTTTCCGAAGGGAACACTTTCCAGTATCTTCTCTTCAGGTGAAGTTGCCCATTCTCCTGCACCCGACACTGCAAGGTGTAGAGGGGGGGTGCATTCTTTGGGCTTTCGTAGCTGGTGTAGAATCATTGTGTGACACAGGGTTGGCCAAAGACCCAGGCAGTAATGTGAACTATAAAGGGACTGATGGTGAAAGATGTTCAGACACAGGACTTCTAAATTTTTCTTTCTAAAGAGAAGCTACTGCTCAGCTCCAGCCCATTGTATCACATGTGGGAATGTGAGAGGAGTGATGATAGATGTTTGGTTTTTCAAGATGAGTCAGACATTCACATTTAGGTGGTATTTTCCTGATTTTTAAAATTATGGGCAACTAATATTCTTGAAATATGTACTGTGGATATTTGGTCTTTTAGAAATACAGAAGTGGCATTTTCATACAGTTCAAACTACATAATAACAAAATTTTAATAAAAGGAAGTCTGCAGTTAGTGTGAGCTCAAGTGATCCCATAAACTTCATCTTTAGAGTGTGTTTCTTCTATCCGTGCCATTCTTCCCCTCTTTGGCCCTGGCATCAGCTGACCTTCTGGTCCCTCTCTGCCATTTGTTGATGTCTTTGGAACTTTCTCTCCATGCCAGCTTCTGCAGTCATCAGTCAGCAACAACCTCAGGCTTCCAGAACCTTTTAAGTGTTGGTGACGTTCTGCCTTTTATTCAGCCATGCACTCTCAGGATCACATCCTGTTTTTGCTTTACTTCAGCAGTCTTTGGTTCTGACCCTATCCTGTCTTATTGGTACTTGTGGATCCTCTAATTGCTCTTTGTCCAACAGAACCTTGACTCTGAGTCAGTGCTGCAGCCCCCTTTTCTGCTGCCATACCTAGTGGTAAGGGGCTGTTGAGGAAACCCTTGAGACCACCGTAGATTTATAGTCTTTAATTCCATGGTTGCCCTGGCACTACGATCACCCTTATCCTTAGTCAGCTCTTTGTTATTTCCTCAACAAACTCTCTTTCTTCTGGCCTTTGCTCATTGCTTCTACTTTGCTGAGAAAATTGAGGCCAACAGTTGCAGTTCCTCACATGCAGGCACTCTCAAGATCACCTCCAGCCTCATTCTCCTGCCATCCCAGAGGATGTGGTTCTTTCATCCCCAGCCTCTACTTCCTTCATCTTCATCTTCATCTTCATCTTTCCTTTTACCATTGACATTCTCCTTTGGTTATAAACACATACAGGACTCTTTCATTAAACCAAGCCAAACAAACCCAAAATCAAAAACCCTCAGACCTCCATGAACACAAAATGCCCTCAGCTCTTTCATCTCACCCTTTTGTCATCCCATTGTCATGCTTATTCACCTCCCAATCTCTCCTCAGATTGCTTGTTGTCTGTCCCTGTTTCCTTTCACCTGACTGACAGTTCTTGCACAGGACACAGATAACTTCCCTGCCCCTGCCCAGTGGGTGTTTTCCAGGTCTTGTTTGTCTGGATCCAGAGGAATATTTAAGGTATGGCATGTGCCCTGGGCTCCTCTTGAAGGGGGGCGCCACTGAGCAGTTTCTGTTAACCCAGTATGACCTGATTTTCATCAGAGATAGCAAAGAAGGAGCAGTTGTAATTTTCATGTATGCCATAATGTGTTAAGAAAAAGATTGTCTTGTATTTTTGAGCTGAGATCATGCTAAAGTTATGTAAAAGGTGAGTGTCAGATGTTTGGACAGGACCTAACTGCTGTGTCCGACAGTGTAGAATTCACTCTCCTTGAAATGTTCTACTTGTTTAAATTCTGAATTCATATTTCCTTAATGTATTTTAACTAAAATGATGGAGCTCTGGTAGCATAGTGGCTAAGGCACTTGACTGCTAACCAGAAGGCTGGCGGTTCAAACCCACCAACCACTCCCCGGAAGGAAGATGGAGCAATCTACTTCCGTAGTGATACTGCTTCGGAAACCCAAGGAGGGTCGCTATGAGTTGGGTCCGACTCGAAACACATAACAGTATAAAACGATACAATCACATATTTAGAAAAATCAACCAGAACCAAAAAACTAATAATAGGAGGTAATAGCTTCTACTCTTGTCCACTCTCTAATCTTTCCCAGAGACTTCAAAAGTTTTATTCTTTTCGCTGGTTATTCTGGTAACTTAATCAGAGAAATGACAAAGTTAAGTTTGCAAAGCTGATGGGTACAAGTGGAGGTGTAAGGGTAGGTCATTTTCACTTTAGAAAGGTAGGTCCGGGTCTGGCTACAATTTAGGGGATGGATTTTTTGGGACGAGGCTGTGACACAGTGAAGAGGCTGTTGTATAAACTATTCAGATAAGAACTGATGCTTTGATTCAGGCCAGTGGGTATGAGGGAAAAGGATGAAATCAAGATCAGAGAGTAGAGGAACCAAGCCCCTTGAGTTGGACGTGAGGGAGAGAAGGTAAACCTGGGTGCTTTCTGAAACCTAAAAAGTAAAAAACCAAACTCACTGCAGTCGAGTCGGATCTGATTCATAGCAACCCCTCCTTGGGTTTCCAAGGCAGTATCACTACGGAAGTAGATTGCCCAGTCTCTTCTGATGAGTGGCTGGTGGGTTTGAACCGCCAGCCTTCTGGTTAGCAGTCAAATGCCTTAAGCATTACGCCACCAGAGCTCCTATGGAACCTAGGCACCTCAAAGTACCGTTTCCTTACGGGAAACTGGAGGGAAGAGCATTTTTGGGGGATCTGGAGTTTTATTCTGGGCATGCAGGTGTTGTATTCTAGGGGCAGTCTGGAAGGTGGATCTGCTACTCAGGAGAGAGGTCTTGGCTGGCAGCAGGGATCCAGGATTGCTGGGTAGAGGGGAACCAGTCAGGAGAGGAGGGAACTGCCTAGGAAAACTGGGTAAAGCCCTGTCCTCACATGGGGATCTGTAGACTTGGTTTGTTTGCCTCTTGCATTTTCAAAATTTAAGTTGGTAATTAATTTCAGTATGGAATGATTTCATATACACGTCTAGATTTCTAGCTTTTCTTGAAAAATTAGAATATCTGGCAGTGTTGGGCCTGCTTCCCTCCCAGTAGCTGTCAGCAGAGCTCAGGTGTGGCTGCAACCTCTGGCGGCCACTGGCACTCTTTACATTCTGGACTGGTTGGCTTTCCTGAGGGAGCATCAGAATTGGCTCTCCTTGGGGAGCACGAGGCCTAGGAGGTCTAGGACCGAGCTGAGGAATATCCAGCTGAGCTGGAAAGAAGGAAGGAACAGAGGCCAGATGCACGTTGTACCCTGGAAACCAAAGAGCAAGGGATAGTCCGCCCTCTAGCAAGATCAAGACTCAATCCACAGAACTAAGTGTGGACTAATCTTTCTTGATTGAGGAAGGGGAGAAATGGGGTGGCTGGTAAAGGAGGGAGGAGTTTTTCAAGGTGGGAGAGGCTTGAGCATGGTTATATGTTAAGGAGAGGAATCTAGTAGAAAGCAAGAGGGAGAGGATAAGGCATCATTTCCTGTAGCAGCTGGAAAATTTAGGATCCAGTGGGCAGGTGGAGATCATTTTCATGCCCTGTGGGGTGTGAGAGACCCTGGGTAATGCTGTGAAGAGGTTTGGGTGGCTTCCTACTGCCTGGGTCATCAGGAGGGCTGGGCAAGGAAGGCTTAGTGCTAGAACCAGGGTCCACTTA